TGCCCCTTCCCCCCTTTGGCTCGAGTTCGGTGCAATAACTTTTTCTTGTGCAGACAGAATTCAAAATTTTAGTTGTTTTTCTCTTAATTGGAACACACATAACAATTGCTAATAATATTTTTTGATCTATTAGCAAATATCTATTATCTATTAGATCTATTGATCTATTAGATCTATTGATCTATTAGATCTATTGATCTATTTTTGAACTCCTTGAGCTGCTCTCAAATGATCTAGTTGATGTTATTCTTTAATTCCAAAGCTTTTTCTATTTATTTTCTTACTTTACTTTATCAAACCTTGTCAACAAGGAAATCCTCCCATTGAAAAACCTCGAAAAAAACGAGCTCTGAGTCTTCGGGAGTGAAATGATGTTCAGCAATTTTCACGAGATCTTCAACACCAACCTTTTCCGATTTCAACGTGAATATAATCTAAAAATTATTCAATTTTTGATAGATCTTAAGTGCATTTTAGAATTTTAGAAGTAGAAGTGGAGGTTTTTCGAGCTAAAAACAAAGAATTCTTCGTTTCTGTGATGAAAACTTTTATGACTTATGGTTTAGCTTGTTAGATTGAAAAAAGTTTCGTCATTGAGGTCATTGAGGGGAGTTTTTGGATAGCATATAGGGTTTTTACATATAAATATAATAGTAGGTATTTAGGGTAGCTTGCTTGCTAGCTTGCTTGCTAGCTTGCTTGCTAGCTTGCTTGCTTGCTTGCTTCCTAACTTGCTTGCTTCCTAGCTTGCTTGCTTCCTAGCTTGCTTGCTTGCTTGCTTGCTTGCTTGCTTGCTTGCTTGCTTGCTTGCTTGCTTGCTTGCTTGCTTGCTTGCTTGCTTGCTTGCAGGCTCAGACTCAGGCTCTGTATGGCACAAGAGCCTTTTCAACTATGAGCTTGCTAGCTTGCTAAACCAATTCTATGATTTGGACAATTTCGAGTACAAATTAAGTTGAATGACCTCCAGCTTTGCTAAAAATCATCTGGATTTTACTATTTGGCCCCTATTTGGCCTCTATTTGGCCTCTATTTGGCCCCTATTTGGCCTACTTTGGCCTTGCAACTCCAGGTGACTCCTTGTCGCGATGTACCACAGCCGACAAACAGCTGGAAATGGTGATCTGGATTGCTCAGGCAAAGTTCCCTGAAAAATAATATAAGAATTACGGTTCCTGGATAGTCTATGAGTGACCGACAAAATTTGAGCAGCGATTAACTTGTTCAATCGTCTAATTGTTTCCTTGCTAACGTTCTCGACCGTTTTTCAGTATTTTTAGCGTTTCTGTATAGCACAAAAGCCTTTTCAACTATTAATTAATACTATTAATTCAACTATTTTATTGTTTTATCATTGTTTTATTATTGTTTTATTACTGTTTTATTACTGTTTTATTACTGTTTTATTATTGTTTTATTACTGTTTTATCATTGTTTTATTATTGTTTTTATTTCCCACCAATCCAGCCCGCCCAATGGATAGACGGAGCGAAACGAGAAATTCGAGCGTCCAAAATATTGCGTCATCTCATGTCCGACAGCCTTGATGAAACCGAGGTGATCATCTAAAAAACGAATAAAATCATTTTAGAGACGAAATGTTTGATTATTTTGCTTTTAAAGTCAGAAAGAAATGGATTGAGTTGAGGATAGATCGGTTTGATTCTCACTGATCATCTAGCTGAGCATCTAGCCCATGACTATCATCTAGCTGAGCATCTAGCCCATGACTATCATCTAGCTGAGCATCTAGCTAGTCGTGGGCTTTCAAATTCTGTTCCCTAGTGATTCTATGATAAATCTGGATGTGATCTTGGATCTCGATGGCTCAATCGATAGTGGTGATTTACAGATTTGTCAAGAGCCCGGCTTCAAATAATCTAGCTGAATAACATGGATAACAAATACCGTATTTTCTGTAATAGTATTGCGCACTACTATTTTTTCAATCCACCTCCTGCCTGCACTACTATTACAGACTGCACTACTATTACAGAAAATACGGTAACAGTTTTTATAAAAACTTATCATAAAAGTACATACAAAAGTACAGTTTCTACAAAAACAAAAACTGTCTTGTTCATTCACTGAACTTTGAAAGTTTATTTGGAGTGGTACTTTATGGTAAAATCGGGTATTTATTTTGAGTGATAGAATCGGGATTTCTTATAAATTGCCTAGTTCATTCACTGAACTTTCAAACTTTACCTAGAGTGATAAAATCGGGAACGATCAGCTCGCTGGTTGACATCACTTGTAGTCTAAAGTTATCGTTGAAATTATTATAGCAATAACAAATCCATTTCTAGTATAACAAATCCTTTGATAATGTTGAAAAACGTGGAAAACTCTGGTAAACGAGCAAAAGTTTGTTGATCTTGGCTGTTCATTTGAAAAAAAGTAATCTATTTGTTTGAAAAGAGGAAAAGAATCGAGGGAACCAGTTTTCTAAACACAAAACCGAAAAACAAACAGCAACAACAGCTGATTGTGAGCACATTTTCGATGGGGAATTGTTTTTCTGGTCATTACTTGATAAAGTCAACAGGGAAAAGATAGTAAACAATCTTTGGCCATCCGTTTTCTCTTTGCTGAATAGCACGTAATTGGTGAAGTGAATGGTCTTACCGGGAAAGAAATGCTTATGCTAGAACGCGTAATGCTTATGGAGAGTTTGAGCATTAACTATTGGTTTTTTGGATCTCGCTAATTATAATATTTAAATCAAGTATTTATTTGAGATAAAATACATAAATATGCTGTCTAATGATTCGATTTCTCGTTGAAATTGTTGGGGATTTCTTTCAGGAAATGATCGAGCTCTTGTTCGGCCACGGGGATTGGATCCCTGAAAATTGCATCATATGATCATTGTAACAAGTTAATTTAGAACTGTGACTTCCAGATCGGTTATTGATCACTTGAGGGAGTCGAACCCTCGACTCTTAGTCCTCTGAGCAAGCACTTTTCGATTGAGCGATCTGGGACTGATATCTCTAATTGCTAGAGAATAGCTATTAGAAGATGAATCAACCCTGTGACTTCCAGATCGGTTATTGGTCACTTGAGGGGGTCGAACCCTCGACTCTTAGACCTCTGAGTAAGCACTTTGAGAGGCTGGGTCATGAGAGGTTCATGTTGGAGACTGGATCATGAGAAGTCAAAAGAAGTGAGAAGTGACATTCGATAACTCGTAGTTTTTCAGTTCATATAGTTGATGCTGACAGAGCGACGTTTCCTCGGTACAAGAACAACAAAAAGTTTTTCTGCAAGGGGGGAATACCACAAATTGACGGGTTAAACCAAGAATATAAAGAAAGAAAGTTCTCTGTAGATCATGAGAGGTTCATGTTGGTTCTTTGATTCATTCATTGAGGATTCACGAAAATTGGAATCCAATGAGCCTTCAGCAGTGCTTTTTTTAGTCGGTGATGATGGTGAGATTTCTGTGTGTCCTTTGCTCGAAAGTCTCCACTTTGAGGAAGCTTTTGGGGTGAAAATTCGAAGAAATCATCTTCAGGTAACCTCGATTGGAAACGATTTGATTCGAGTCAATGCCAACTTTGTGCACAATTGAATAGCTTTTATTTGAATATAAGATAAATGTTGAATATAAGATAAATGAACTATAAAGGAACTATAATTTTATATTTTTTAAAACTTGAGTAAACATATTAAAAGATTCGCTTTTGAAATAACTATCAAAACCGTTTTCTTGTTAAAACTATCAAAATGTGAACACGTTTCAATGCCAGCCGCTCATCTCTCTCTCTCATCGATGTGAAAGCAACTCGCTTTTACTCCGTATTGTGAAAAGGAATGAAAATGGATTCTAGCTGACTTTTGGTGAAAGTCAATGGGTGAGGGAAAGCCTGAACACGACGCGATGCCAAATGTGCATGAGAAGAAGTTTATGCTCTCGGTGCTCTGGGATTTGGCCAGAGCCAGGAAAAGCCAGGAAAAGCCACGACGTGATGCCAAATGTGCATGAGATTGCTCTCGATTTATGCTGAGATTCATGTTGATGCTTCATGTTGATGCTGAGATTTATGCTCTCGGTGCTCTGGGATTTGGAAGAGTCTACTAGACACTTTTGGATAGCAAGACAACACTCAACTCAACAAGCCAGCCAGCTAAATCTTTGTCAGAGAAAGAGCTCCAAGAGAAAAATCATTCTTCAACATGATAATGCACATGTTTCGAAGATGATTCGTTTTAAACTTGGATGAGAGGTGATCCTAATCGTTTTAAACTTGGATGAGAGGTGATCCTGATGAGAGGTGTCCATTTGGCAGTCCTGATCTTGCACCTTTTGATTGCTACTTATTCCGAGCGAGCAATGATCAGCGATCAGCGATTTAGCGATGAAAGACTTTGATTCCGATGGTGATTTCAAAAATGGCTGATAGATTGATTTGGATCAAGAGCGAAGATTTTCTATGAGAGAGGGAGACTTCTGTCAGTAAAATAGGCTTAATTCATTCAAAATAATAGAGAATATTTCGAATGATTGTCCATAAATCAGTTGTTTTTTCATTTCATATCTATCAATAGATAGAAAATGTAATGTTAAAGAAAGCAGTCTTCTTCTTTATCGTGTTCACCAAATTGCTGACCATTTATGGCCATCAAAAATCGACTTTTTCGTGATGTTAAAGACAAAGAAATAAAGAGTTTGATGTTTTAAAAAAGGCCAGTATTTCTAAAGCTTATTATTTTGAATTTTATAGATTTGTGTCGATGATTTCAATTTGAATCTCTAACTCGAAAAAGCCGATTTTTGATGGCCATAAATGGTCAGCAATTTGGTGAACACGATAAAGAAGAAGACTGCTTTTTTTTTGCCTAAAACTTTTACAACTTTTACAACGTGGACAGTTGTTAAAGGTCACAAATTACCCAAATTTATGGCCAAGATTATGCAGTGAGTTCGTTGATCTGTTTCATATTTAAACTCTAAAACTTTTGGTTGGCTAGTTTATTTATTCAAAGAGTCCGGATCTATGGTATGTTTTTGAAGATCTCTCGATTCTTTAGATTAGATTTAAATCCAAAGCTTCTAGCAACATTTTACAGCTCATTCAGCCTCATATCAAGAGCTAGGGCAGTCGTACTTCAGCTGTACTGTCAGTCGTACTTCAGTTGTACTTTCAGCTGTACTTTCAGCTGTACTGTCAGTCGTACTTTCAGCTGTGCTTTCAGTCGTACTCAACGCTCCTCATCGCTGCACTTCTCGCCGTCTCTTACGGATTCACGAAGATTCCAAACAGCTACACGATTGCGCAGAGAACATCAGCTTGTCAAGTAAGAAATCTAGGGTATACTTGTGAACGAAATGTCTAGGATTATTGCAAGGGACAATCAATCTCGGTCACGACGGGCTTCGCTTTCCTTACAAGTGGATGGCAGTTGTGCACCTGTCCAATTGCTCAATTGTCTGGACAGTTCGTTTAAAGATATTTCACTAATACCGTAATTTGAGATGGATTGGCACTGGTTGTTTCACAGAATGCCGGCAGAGATGTGTGAATACATGGGGTACTTGCGCGAGATCGGGCGGCTCGAACAACACTGGGTGAGTTCAACAGTCGATCAAATGATAGCTGTAATAGCTGTAATAGCTGTAATAGCTGTAATAGCTGTCACGTACTGTAATGTTTCAGTGTCTGTTGCTCGACGGCTAATATCAACACAACAATCGAAACTCAGTGTTATTCTGTCCCGAATGGAGCTTGTTACTTTAGCGGATCTGGATAAAAATCGAAATCCAAGAAAGAAAAATAAAAGTTATAGTTGATAATGAGAATTAAGACTTGGGTAATTAAACCAAGGGTCTACTGGCAGTGTCAGAAGTCCGAAGAACACCAAAGAACACTCAAATACTCAAGAATGAGGCAATAGAGGCACTAGAAAGATTTGTTTACAAGTTTAAACCTCAAAGTACAGGCAAAAACATTGTATACTTGATATTTTGCAGTCCATTCTACAGTCGATCTCATTCAAATCGCAAAAAATTCCTCTCATCACAATACAAACATTTTTCCAAATCGCAAGACTTTTGACGTGAATCCATTGTTAATCTTGATCGTAAAATGGCCAAGTTTGCTGAAAAAAACGTTTCTTTTCAAAGCTTTTTTTATTCAAAATGTGACTGAAAATGTAACTTTTAATGGTCAAAAAGTGATGGGAAAAGTTTTTTGCAACAAAGTTCATCGTCAAAGTTCAATCTGTCTGGTCAAATGTTTCATTTTTTTCCGATCCGAGCTATAAGCCAAAGCATGCGTTGGATCAAGGACAACTATGGAAACCAAAGTTCTTGTGCTGATCCAGGATCCAGATCTTGGTCTGGAGGCTCTTGGCTTAGACCAGGGCTGGCTTTCGGCTCGTCTATGAATTTGTCTTGGATTTCTGACAACTATGTAGACCAAAGTTCTTGTGCTGATCGAGAGTCTGACTAAAAACCGGACTCGATCTGAAGGCCCTTGGCTTAGGTCAAGGCTGGCTTTCGGCTCGTCTATGACTTTAACATTGTTCTAGCGTGGTTCAAGGCTCTTGGCCTGACCAGGTTCTTCGTCTCCACTTCTGACTTAACTGATTTCAATCTGAGCTTATCTGCCAGCTGGATTGACTTGGAACAACTGTAAGCTCTGTACTGTACCAACTCTGACTCCGGTCTATATTTTCCTGTCTTGGCTTTTGACTAGGCAGTCCAATTGAACCTAGAGATTCAAATGAGGCTCTAGGCTTATAAAAACGATCAACGTCAACATTCATTTCAAAGCAAAACAGGATGTTTTTCGAAAAACAAAGAACAGAGATCTAGTCGGATTTCCCCAAACAAACAGCTGACTTATCGACCGTGCGTGACCAATTATCAAGTCAAAGAGTTGTTGAATGACCCAAAATCGTTCCTAAAAACCTCATGGGCATACCTTTTTTTCTACATCAAAGTTCTTATCGGTTGTAAAACTTGCAAGCATTTTTATGGGCATCGATTAGAGTGGTGATGGCTGAGTGAAAAGTGAATAGTTTGTACTCGAAAAAGTCAACAAATCATTTATGGAAAAGGGTTTTATGGGCAAGATTTGAGGAGAATTTTGCTATGTTTTTATGGGTGGACATGGAAAGGAATTGGAGGATATAAAGGGAAGGATTGAGGGCGGACATTGACAGCAAGTGTTTGACCGCTTCACAGCTCGCCGACTCTTCTAAACGACTATGGTCGGTTACTGTAGCTTTAGAGTGATCTCTATAGCCTTTTGTAGATTTTTGTAAATGTGCTGTAAGGGTTTTTGTTGGATTAAGATGGGTGGCTTGGTTCAATCAATTGTTGGGAGAGTATAGCTGTGGATAGCCGTATTGTAGGCTCAGGCTCAGGCTCAGGCTCAGTAGGTGAAAGGTCGCGGGGTTGAGTCCCGGCGCACCAGCTTTTGATCTGCGCACCAGGCTCAGAGCCTGAGCCTGAGCCTGAGCCTGTGTAGGCTACTTGCTAGATTGCTAGATGGATACTTGCTAGTTGTTCTGTAAAGTGTATTTGTGTGTAGGGTTATTATAGTGGATTGGCTGTAGATTTTGGCTGAAGATTGAGCTTTTGATCAGTCAGAGGCCCTGCTTTGAGGCCCGGGTTATTGTAACTTTGACAGGATTACGGTAGGACTAAACAACTAAGTTTAGTAGATGAATAGGGTAACGGAGCTACAACTAGTGCTAAAAAGAAGCGAAAAAAGTGTAGCGGATCACTGTAGCTTGCTATAAACCTTGAGCAATGTATTGTAAAATGTAAAAATGTTTTCAGAATCGATTCTTCTTCTTCTCCTTCTTCTTCATCGCATTCAGCGCTGCCGCCTTCACAAAATTGCCGACTTCTTATAATATGGCCAAGAAAACATCGGCTTGTTCTGTAAGTTTAAATTTAAATCTATAAAATCTAAGTTTACCTTCAGGATTACTGTGCCGGTCAATCAATCTCAACTTCGACTGGCTTCAACTTCAAAGGAAAGGGCTGGCAATTGTGCAATTGTCCGATTGGACAAGGATCGCATTTGTGAGTTGTGGGGATGATTTTGAATTAGAGAAATGATCAGAAAAACGAATCAGAATTGGTGTGTTCCGAATTGGTGTGTTTAAGCACAAATTGAAAGCCTTTTTCCAGCTGGCAGGGCACTGGTTGCTACAATCAATGCGTTAGTCGATGCACGTCGTTGAGGGGAAATTGCGCGAACCCGAAAACGACCAACACCGACTATAAAGGGTGAGGAATAGTTAGAATTCGTGGAAAAGATTCGTGTAAAAGATTCGTAGAAAAGATTCGTGTAAAAGATTCGTGTATAAGCTTCATGTCAAATCCCTTTTCCTTATATGCATTTGAATTAGACTCTGTTGTACGACTGCAAACGTAAACACAACGATAAACACCGACTGTTTCACTTCATCCAATGCCGCGTGCACAAGCACTGGAATGGGATAAGGAAAAGATTGAATGAATGATCGGATAATTGATAAAACTTTCGAAATCTCAATGTTTAACTGCTAAAAATTGCACAAATCCAAATAAATCCAAATAAATCCAAAGCTACTTCGATCTTCCCAACAAAGGCTCACTTCTTTATCTCAAGGAACACAACATTTCACTCTAATCGGCTAAGAAAAGATAAGGAATTTTGAGAAGATGATCGGCCTTCATAAATGATCATAACCTTCAAAATGTTCTTTGTTTTTCAACTATTTTTCTTCTCTACCCGTTCTCGTGCCCATTTGCCTCTAAGCTCATCTAATATCAAATACAGAAGATTCCCCAGCAAACCACAAAGCCAATTGCCATGAATCCCATGAATGGAAGGACACACCATGGTAAGGCGCGGCTCCCGGGGTAAACCCTAGCCGAGTGGCCGAGTGACGAGCGATAAGGAACCAAATTCAGAGAGATAAGGAATCAAATTTAGAAAGATACGGAGCCGAATTGGTAGAGACAAAGCTAAGGTTTGAGAGATAGGAACCCTAGCCCAGTGACCCCCCAGCTTCCACCGTGGCACAGGGGAAGCGTAGGAAGGCCCTTTTTGTCCCCTGACTCTTTGACAGCAGGGATGAGTGAGAAGTACTCTTTTGTAGCAGGGGTAGGTAAAGTACTCTTTGACGGCAAGATAGGTAAGAAGTACTCTTTGACAGCAGGGGGTAGGTAGAAGTACTCTTTGACAGCAGGGATATAGGTAAAAAGTACTCTTTGACAGCAGGGATGGGTAGGAAGTACTCTTTGACAGCAAGGTTGGTAGGACGTACTCTTTGACGACGGGGATGATGGGTAAGGAAGTACTCTCTTTGACAGCAGCAGGGATGGAGTGGGAAGTACTCTTTGACCTTGGGGGTGGAAAGTAAGTACTCTTTGACCTTGAGGATGTAAAAATTCCCCCCTACCTTCTAGATTAAATAATTCCATATCAATAATAAATCTTTTGCATTTTTCAGCTTCCCCTCCAAAATTTCCAAAACTCCTTAAGCTTTTTGCTTTCTAATATTTTTATAATATTATTTGAATTATTATTATTGAGTTGATGCAAAAGAAGTCTTTTTCATTTTTTTCATGCTTCTTTTGAAAAATAACTTAGAAATGATGGAATTAACCTATGGTTTGCCTCGTAAGAAAAGTGTTTATTGTTGAATTTCCCATCTTTTTCAGTCAATTTGGGTTCACTTTCAAGCAAATTCCCGAGTGAAAACAGGGTTTTCGCAAAAATCTATAAAAACCTCTATAAAGAAATTGGCTGAATCAATTTTTTTGAAAATCTGTAAAAAAATATCGAACTTTTTGTGCTCTATCTTTTATTTATTAAAATCAAAGATTGGTTTCCTTAGCTAAAGCGTCTAAAATGCATCATCAGACGCGTCGCCCTTTTTGACTACTGAACTTTGAGCTCTCGAAAAAATCTAGACACAAGACATTTAAAACTCGTTTTAATGTCATTTCCCGAAAAATAATTGGCCTTTCGAATGCAATAAACCGTTGCTCGATTCGATGCATTTATTTACTTTTTAACGGAAGTACGGAAAAAATGAAAAGACTTTTTGCATGAACCTAATATTTGTTTTGACAAGTGCAAATCTTTGTTTTGTAAATCACCCCAATCCCGCGTGTCCCAAATCTGGAACAACATTCGGAATGAGAAACTCACGGTGACAGGCAGCCTCTGAACAGTCTTTTAGTCAATCAATTGGGTGATTTGAGGAAAAGACGAAAAACCTTAGATTGCCAAAAGCAGAAAGGGATCGATATGTTTACGTTACAAGTTTAGTCCAGTGAACGACTGATGAGCCAAAAGCCATAAAGCCAATTCGGAGTTGATCCCGGCTTCCCAAGCTTGCCTTTGAGACAATCACCGACAAGATTAGAGCAGCAAATTGATCCGAAGAGGTGAATTAAAACCAAATTCCGGCTTTCAATTCAAAAAATGAAAAAGACTTTTGCATCAACCTAATAAAATTATATTATTAAAGAATATTACCATAGCTAATCTAGCACGTGTGGCTGAGCTGGTTAAGTGTCTTTTATCTTAATCGGAAGGTCGAGGTTCCCAGCGTTTATGCGACATGGTCACCCCCTTCGGATTTCCTTTCCCTTCGGGTTGAGAGGTTTTCTGGAGGGCAGTCCCAGTGGTTGTGGCCCCAGTTCTTTAAGTGCAAACCACTCCTTCATCGTCCTCTTCCCTTCACCACCAAAAAAGCTATTTAGTTCCCCATTGAGCTTAGGGTTAGGGAGCCGTCTGTCTTGACGTGGGTTAAGTTAAGATATAGCCTAGTATTGTGTGTGTCGTTGTATTGCCTGATTGATATATTTTAGTGTTCATGCGATAAATTCGCCACTGGACGCAGCTAGTCAGTGATTTACTTAATCGATATTATATCATCATTCATTATATCCAAACATTATTATATAAACACAACAAAAAAGTAAGTAAAAGCATTAAAAGTAACGTTCTTTCTCAGTAGAACAACAACAACAAAAAGCTTTTTTCTGGAAAGAGCAAGAAGCAAGAAAATTCCACAAATTTACTTTTTTTACACTATTTTACACTATTTTATATTTTTTTAGACTATTCTACACTATTCTACACTATTCTGCACTTCATTCTACACTATTCTGCACTGTTCCACACTATTTTTAAACTATTTTAAACTATTTTAAACTATTTTAAACTATTTTTACACTACAATTTTCGCTATTTTCCTGACTCTTTGGCTAAAATTATTTATAATTTAGTTAAAATTTCCTTAGAAATCACTATAATGTAGAGATTTTTCATTTTTCAGGTTCAACGAATAATTGAAATTTCCGGGAACTTCCTTTTTGTGACTTTTTGGAAAATCTTCGTCTCTCTCCAAATTATAGGCTTTTTAACTCAAATTATAGGCTTAATGTTGGAAGTTACATTCTTAAAAGCAAAACTCGATAAAAAGTTCAAATTTCAATCTTGATATTAGTCAGTATTTCCTCTATTTCTCTTATTATTCTTTTATTCCAGAGGAAATGATTGACCTTGAAGTGGATATCCAGTGATTTCAGCCGAAGATCCGCTATGGTTAGGGGTACATAAACAACCCCAAAGAAAGCTCTACTGCCAGCCAGGCAAGACTAGAATATAATAGCCCAGTTCTAGTGTTTGTTCCTAGGGTTCGTTCAGATTTCTCATGAGAAAAACTAAATTTGAATCGTCATTCAAAGCCCACCCCATGACAATGCGAACTCTTCTGGTCCCCAATGGCTATGTGACAATCTTGATCAATTCCTTTGTTGCTTATATGATTCTCTGGCATTCATCCAAAGGTATGATTTTATTTAAATACTTTCTTTAGAAGTTACTGGTAGAAAGTGGATTTATTCCAAGGTATTCTTAAAGCTTTTTGATCAGTTTTGGTCTTTCATCCTGGACATGCTGATGAATTGGCTTTTTGTCCGGGTTTTCTTCTTCCTCTTCCAAGGTATTTACATGTCAACATCGTGTGTTTTCGCAAAAACATCCGTATGATTGGATTTGGAGTGGAAATGGTGAGCCAATTGAGCAATATTCTATAGAGATTATATAGAAATTCTGGAGTATCTCTACGCCAGAACTTCTATAGATCTCTACGCTCGTTGTTATGGAAAATTTAAGCACTGTCACTTGTCGATTGTTTCTTTTATCGTTTGTGGATAATTGAAGAGGAGAAATGGTGGTACGCGACACGGATGAGGAATTTTTGGTAAGTATTTTCGGCTAAAGCTAGGCCAGGCTAGCTAGGCCAGGCTAGCTAGGCCAGGCTAGGTCTAAGCGTTAGAATCTGATTGTAAATCTCACGGCTCTCTTGCTTTATCATTATCTACCTAGATCTGTGCCTTACTACACGGCTTCTATTCATTTACAAATATTTTATGATCTACATATCGTGAGGAAGCGATGATCTGTACAAGAAAACATTGGAACGGTAAAAAGTACAACGTGCTGTACAACTTGTACTGGACAACCCGCACTGGACATTTTATACTGGACAACTTGCCGCCTTGTACTGTACTGGCGCTGTACAACTTGTACTGTACTGGCGCTGTACGACTTGTACTGTACTGGTGGTGTATAACTTGTACTGTACTGGTGCTGTACAGCTTAATACTCATACAGCATTCTTATACAACCGGGTACTGTACTTTCTGCTCGAGATTGAAACGCATCCTTTCCGGCACAGTTATCTCGTGTTCCTCTCACGACCCAGACTAGTTAGTGTACCAAAAACAAATACAACGAACTACCGTACCTTGGAAACTCCTTTCCGTACTATCCGAACTCTTTGGACCTTCTCTCCTGCCTTTGAATTGGGTGATCATTCCACCGTCAATCAGGAAACTCTCCGAGATCATGTTTATGTGGTTTTTTGAGGTAGAAAAGTTGAAATTTATAATATACAAATAAATAAAATATAATAAATATACAAATTCCAGGTGCTTCTCTTCCAATCTAATCGTCGCTTTGGTCATCTTTCAAATCATTCGTTTACTCCGACAATACACTTTTACAATGAGTCCATCAACGCTGTGAAGCTCATCGGCATTTCGTTGAGGCTCTTTTCGCCTGGGATTTTTCAAGTTAAGTAATCTTAAATTCATTTGAAGCTCCTTTGGCTTTATCCCATTCTCGTCTATTCAGCTCCAGTCGTAATTGGGCTCATTTGTGCGCTTTTCGGATTTCAAGTGATAGTAAGTGTCTGTTTTGCATATAAGCTTTGACTTTGACATTTAAAATTGTACTGTAACGTACTACTAAGTGTACATTTATAGGGAAATAGCTCGAATAGGAAACACATCTTTTCCAGTGCACCAATTCAACTTTAAGCTTAAATATGTTTGGATTGAGGTGTTGAGTGAGACATTATTGAGATCATTAGATGCATCCAAGTCTTTCCTTAGCTCACGATGAGATCTTGTGAGGGATTTGAGTGTTGAGT